CACCCAAAAAACACCCCAAAAACACACCCCAAAAACACCCAAAAACCACCTCAAATTATCCCCAAAAAACCCCAAAATTATCCTGAAATTTACCCCAAAAACACCTCCAATTATCCCCAAAAAAAGTCCCAAAATCACCAAAAAAACCCCTCCAAACCTTCTCAAAACCACCCCAAATTATCCCCAAATTACCCCAAAATCACCCTGAAATCATCCCAAAATCCACCCGACACCCCCAAAACCTCCCTAAAATCCACCTGGGACCCCTCAGATCCCACCCAGACCCCCCAAAAATCCCAATTCTGGCTGCTTTTCCCCCCAAATTCCCATTTTTTCCCCCCAAAATCCCATTTTTGGGTGAATTTTCCCCCCAAAATCCCAATTTTGGCTGATTCTCTTCCCTCCAAATCCCACTTTTCCCCCCCCAGAATCCCAATTTTGGTTGTTTGTTTTCCCCCAAAATCCCATTTTTTGTTGTTTTTCCCCCAAAAATCCTTTTTGTTTTCCCCAAAAAAATCCCAATTTTGGGTGTTTTCCCCCCAAAACTCCCAAATTTGGGTGTTTTTCCCCAGGAAAGCCGGGCTGGGCTCGGGGCTCTCCCTGCAGCACCTGGTGCACCCCGAGCTCAAGGACGGAGCCCAACAGGTGAGTCCTGACCCCAAAAACCCCAAAATTCACCCCAAAAACCCCAAAATCGGAGTCCTCACCCCAAAAACCCCAAATTGCCCAAATTCTCCCCAAAATCCCCTCCCTGAGCTCAAGGACGGAGCCCAGCAGGTGAGTCCTGACCCCAAAAACCCCAAAATCCACCCCAAAAACCCCAAAATCGGAGTCCTCACCCCAGAAACCCCAAATTGCCCAAATTCCCCCCAAAATCCCTCCCTGCACCCCGAGCTCAAGGACGGAGCCCAACAGGTGAGTCCTGACCCCAAAAACCCCAAAATTCACCCCAAAAACCCCAAAATTCATCCTAAAAACTCCCAAAATTTACTCCAAAAAAACCCAAAATTCACCCGAAAATCACCCTGAAATTGTCCTAAAATTCACCCAAAAACCACCAAAATTCATCCCAAAATTCACCCCAAATTCACCCCAAAAAAACCCCAAAATTCACCCAAAAATCACCCTGAAATTGTCCTAAAAATCACCCTGACCCCAAAAACCCCAAAATTCACCCCAAAAAACCCAAAATCCACCCCAAAAACCCCAAATTGCCCAAATTCTCCCCAAAATCCCCTCCCTGAGCTCAAGGACGGAGCCCAGCAGGTGAGTCCTGACCCCAAAAACCCCAAAATCCACCCCAAAAACCCCAAAATCGGAGTCCTCACCCCAGAAACCCCAAATTGCCCAAATTCCCCCCAAAATCCCTCCCTGCACCCCGAGCTCAAGGACGGAGCCCAACAGGTGAGTCCTGACCCCAAAAACCCCAAAATTCACCCCAAAAACCCCAAAATTCACCCCAAAAACCCCCCCAAAATCGGATTGCTGACCCCAAAAACCCCCAAATCCTCAAAAAAAAGCCCCAAAATTCACCCAAAAATCTCCAAAATCCCCAGAAATATTCCCAAAAATTCACCTGGGAACTCCAAAATTCATCCAAAAATGCCCCAAAATCGCCTAAAATTCACCTGGGATGGCCAAGAAACACCAAAATCCCCTCAAATGTCCCCAAAAATGCACCTGGGAACCCCAAAAATACCCAAATTTCCCCCAAAATCCCTCCCTGCACCCCAAGCTCAAGGACGGAGCCCAGCAGGTGAGTCCTGACCCCAAAAACCCCAAAATTCACCCCAAAAAAACCCAAAATTCACCCCAAAAACCCCAAAATCAGAGTCCTGACCCAAAACCCCACAATCCACCCCAAAAAACCCAAAATTCACCCCCAAAACCCCAAAAATCAGAGTCCTGACCCTAAAAACCCCAACATCCACCCCAAAAACCACAAAACCACCCAAAAAAAAACCCCAAAATCTGAGCCAGGACCCCCAGAAACCCCAAAATCCACCCAAAAAAACCCCAAAATCGGAGTCCTGACCCCAAAAACCCCAAAATCCCCCCCAAAAAAACCCAAAATCCACCCCAAAAAACCCAAAATCCACCCCAAAAACCCCAAAACCCACCCCAAAACCCCAAAATCCACCCCAAAAAACCCAAAATTCACCCCCAAAACCCCAAAAATCAGAGTCCTGACCCAAAACCCCACAATCCACCCCAAAAAACCCAAAATTCACCCCCAAAACCCCAAAAAGCAGAGTCCTGACCCTAAAAACCCCAACATCCACCCCAAAAACCCCAAAACCCACCCCAAAACCCCAAAATTTGCCCCAAAATCCTCCCCAGAAAACCCCAAATCGGAGTCAGGGCAATCCACCCCAAAAAAACCCAAAATCCACCCCAAAAAGCCCAAAATCAGAGTACTGACCCCAAAAACCCCAAAATGCCCAAATTCCCCCCAAAATCCCCTCCCTGAGCTCAAGGATGGAGCCCAAATCCACCCCAAAAACCCCAAAATCCACCCCAAAAATCCCAAAACCCACCCCAAAACCCCAAAATCCACCCCAAAAACCCCAAAACCCACCCCAAAACCCCAAAATTTGCCCCAAAATCCTCCCCAGAAAACCCCAAATCGGAGTCAGGGCCCCCAAAAAATCCCCAAATTCACCCCAAAATCCACTCAAAATCAGAGTTGGGACCCCCAAAAAACCCCAAAATTGGATTCCTGCCCCCAAAAAACGCCAAATTCCCCCCAAATTCCCTCCCTGCACCCCGAGCTCCAGGACAGGTGAGGCCGGGCTGGGGAAATTTGGGGTTAAATTTGGGTGAATTTGGGCAAATTTGGGCTGAATTTGGCTGAATTTTGGGCTGAATTTTGGGTTGAAATTTGGGTCACTTGGTGCTGAATTTTGGATGAAATATTGCCTAAATTTGGGTGAATTTTGGGTCAAATTTAGGCTGAATTTTAGGTTAAATTTGGGTGAATTTTGTGCTGAATTTTGGGTTAAATTTGGGTGAATTTTGTGCTGAATTCGGGTGAATTTTGGGCTGAATTTTGGGTTAAATTTGCCTGAATTTGGGTGAATTTTGGGCTGAATTTTGGGTTAAATTTGGGTGAATTTTGTGCTGAATTAGGCTGAATTTGGGGTGAGAATTTGGGCGTTTTTGGCTGTGCAGACCATGCAGTGCCTGGAGCTCTTCGCCGAGACGGCCGAGGCGCTGCTCATCAAGCACGGCAAGAGAATCGTGGGTGAGATTTGGGGCAAATTCCCACATTTTTGGGGCAACTCCCAAATTTTTGGGCAATTCCCAAAAACTGGGGACTCGGGAAGGGCCGGGGGACCCCAAAAATCCGGGATTTTGGGGCATTTTTTGGCGTTTAAAGTCAATTTTTGGGGTTTTTTCCCAATTTTGAGGAGCTTTAAATCGAATTTTGGGGGTCCCCAAATTTGGGATTTGGGGGAGGGGCGGGGGATCCCAAAAATCCGGAATTTTTGGGGGGATTTTGGTGGAATTTTGGGAATTTGGGGCTGAATTCTACCCGAATTTTCCCATTTTTGGCTAAGATTTGAGGGTTTTGCCCCAACTTTGAGGTTTTTTGGGGGGTTTTGAGGTTTTTTGGGGTCCCAAGCTCAATTTTTGGGGTCCTGGGTGGAATTCTGGGGGATTTGGGGCCAATTTTGGGGCATTTTGGTGGAATTTTTGGGAATTTTGGGCCTTCAAAGACTGAATTTTACCCAAATTTTCCCATTTTTGGGCTTTTTTACCCCAAATCTGGGGAGATTTTGGGGCTCCTGGGTGTTTTTGGGGGCTCCAAGTTCAATTTTGGGGGTCTTGCCTTGAACCTGGGCAGATTTGGGAGAATTTTGGGCAAAATTTTGGCATTTTTGGGCAAAACTTCTGCATTTTCAGGTTGAACTTTACCCAAATTTTCCATTTTTGGCCGTTTTTACCCCAAATTTTAGGGAATTTTGGGGCTCCCAGGGGTTTTCGGGGTTGCCAAATTCGATTTTGGGGGTCCTGGGATGGATTTCGGTCAAAATTTGGGGCTTTTTGGGCAAAATTTGGACATTTTGGGTCAAAACTCCTGTATTTTCCATTGAATTTTACCCAAATTTTCCCATTTTTGGTCATTTTTACCCCAAATTTGGGGAGATTTTGGGGCTCCTGGGGTTTTTTGGGGTCACCGAGTTTAATTTTGGGGGTCCTGGGGTGGATTTGGATCAAAATTTTGGAATTTTTAGTCAAAATTTGGGGATTTTTGGTCAAAATCCCTGGATTTGAGTTGGATTTTACTCAAATTTTCCCATTTTTGGCCATTTTTCCCCCAAATTTTGGGGCTCCCGGGGGTTTTTGGGGTTGCCGAGTTCGATTTTGGGGGTCCCGGGTTGGATTTGGGTCAAAATTTGGGGCTTTTTGGTCAAAAATTGGACATTTTGGGTTTAAAACTCCTGTATTTTCCGTTGGAATTTTACCCAAATTTTCCCATTTTTGGCCATTTTTCCCCCAAATTTTGGGGCTCCCGGGGGTTTTCGGGGTCGCCGAGTTCGATTTCGGGGGTCCCGGGGTGGATTTTTGGGGTCCTGACCCCGAATTCCCCCCAAAAAAGAGGAGCAGTTCGCCCTGAAGCGCGTGGCCGACGCCGCCATCGACGTCTACGCCATGGCCGTGGTGCTGTCCCGGTAAATCCGGCAGAATTCCCGGAATTCGGGAAATCCGGGAATGCCGGGCCGTGATTCGGGAAATTTGGGGGGAGTTGGGGGAATTTTGGGGAGTTTTGGGAGGGGTTTGGGGAAATTTTGGGGTGTTTTGGGGAAATTTTTGGGAATTTTGGGGGAATTCGGGGGCATTATTTTTTGGGGGTTTTTGGGGAAATTTTTGGGAATTTGGGGGCATTTTTGGGAATTCTGGGGGAATTTTGGGAAATTCTGGGTGGATTTTTGGGGAATTTTGGGAGTTCTGGGGGAATTTTGGGGAGTTTTGGGGCTTTTTTGGGAAATTTTGGGGGGTTTTGGGGGCATTTTTGGGAATTCTGGGTGGATTTTTGGGAAATTTTGGGAGTTTTGGGGAAAATTTGGGGGGAATTTT